TCAGCCGTCGCAGGGCCCCAAGTGCAGGGGACGGTCCCCGCACCCCGCCCCTCCCTGATCACCACACAGTTTGCGGTTCCCCCCCCCCCACCGTCCTTACCTTCCAACATCTCGGCGTTCACAGGAGTTTCCTCGGCTTCCTCGGCTTCCTGGCTGACAGCAGTTGGGCTGCACCCCGCAGGCCTCCAAGTCTTGTAGTTGTCCAGCCATGAGACCGAAGAAAGAGCCTGGCAACAGCCAGAGACATCGATGGTTAATCAGATAAAGTGTCTTGCACGTTCGAACAGAGGATCCTGGAGCAACACCCCACCGTGAGCAGCAGGCAGGACACGGCAGCCATCTTGGCTACTTGAGGGAGAAGGAGGCTGCCGTTTATAGCGCAATTGACGTCAGGTTGGCTCATCAGTCACCAGGGAAACCAGCAGCTGGGGCCCATCCCGCACGCATTTCGAGTTAACGACCATCTAGCCTAAGGACTAGAACAATCTCTAGCTGGGGGAGGGGGTGATGATGCTCGTGTGACAGGGTGTAGGAGAAGCAGGGCCTGGTCGAGCAGGGGATCTACAGAGCAAGAGAGCCGCCATCTTGAGTGTCCTCACCATATAGTGATGTGTCCCAGTTTAGTTTGTACAGGGCGGTGGTCAGGGTGTGTGACACGTGCCGAAGGCAGAAGCTCAGGCCCGTGGGGTCCCAGGAGGTAGGGCGGAGGCAGATGCCTTGTGCCGTGGCCAGGCTGTGGGCGTCAGCGGCTGAGTCCCTGGCTGGCCTGTCCATAGGTCCTGCTGCAGCTGTGGCCAAGGGCCACGGCACACAGGGGCGGGGGTGGGGGAGCAGGGAGACACAGGATGAGGGCTGGGGGGGCTGCGGGGGTGGGCAGGAGGCCAGCGCAATGCCTCCAGACCATCTCTCTGCAAGCAGCACTCACAGTCAGCCCCCCGCACTGGTCCCTGCCCCGCTGCCATCTCCCTTCCAGGTCATCCCCTCTTCCTTTCAAGCTATAGACAGGGAGTGAGTTCAAGGTCCTCCCACTCCCACTGGAGGTTTGGGGAAACAGTCCTGGCAAGAGGAGGGGGGCAACGTGTTCACTACAGGAAATGCGCAGGACAATTGCCTCCTAATAACTCAGTGCAGATTTCCGAGCAGCACGGCGTCTCCCGGGCTCCGCGGGCCGTGGAATTCAATATGATATGCTTCAGCCTGTCAGCTAATGGGCTGCTGCTGGAGGCCACGTGATCCAACCTTCCCGGGGGTGTTAAACGATGCTGAAAAGTGGCCCAGATTTATCCAGCGGCGCAGTGTGTGTCCCTGCCTGTGGGCGTGTAGGGAAATGACAAGTTATGAAAACAGGTCTTTGTGAGCAAGGTGGGCGGGGACAGGGTTTTCAGGGCTGCCCCGTGCCGGGGTCGTCGCCAGCTCACCCAGGTGACACACTGCTCCACGACATAGAGCATCAGTTTCCCCACCTGTTAAATCCATTATTTGATTACTATCCCCTCTCTAACCTGTCATTCATTCCCAGAACATTCCACCTACTATGTACTGAGTTGTGTGCTAGGTGCTGCCAGGGCTGCCAGTGGGATGGACAAGGCCCTGCCGTCCTGGAGGGAGGGGAGAGGGCATTAAATAACCGTCATGAGGAGCGCCATCAATTCTCACGGCCCTTTATCACCGGGGCCGCCGCCAGCTTCCCATCGCCGGGATCCCTGCACACCGTCCCACTCCGTGGTCCACCCTCCAATCCTAAGCTCAGTTGTCTGTCAAACCACAGCCCCGACCACAGTGTCCTCTGAACACTCTCCAGTGGCAAGGAGGACATCTTCAGGGTGGCCTGCACTGCCTGCAGGGCTGGCCCTCTGCCAGCCTCCCCTGCCCCACGCCGTCCTCGTTCTCTGAGCCGGATCTGTGCGCAGGGCCTCCCTCCGTGCTGCCTCCTCTCTGCTCTTAGTTAACCCCCGTCCATCTCGCAGCATCAGGTGGGCAGGGCCATGTCTGGTTTTGCTCATATCCCCACCTCCCCAGGGTTGGCACGGTGCTGGCAGGAAAGGGAGAGGGGTGAGCCAGCTGAGCAGGCCTTAGCCAGGTCACAGGGTCCCTGGCAGAGGTACGGACCCCCCACAGGGCACAGGGCACGGGAATCCAGAGGGGCCACAGGAGCCAGGCAGGGAAGTGCAGCTGTGAGGATCGTTATCTGACTCACGTGTTTAAAGGTCCCCAGAATGCAGGCGAAGGACTGATGGCAGCTGAGCAGTGGAGGTGGGTGGCGCGGCAGGAAGTCCTGCAGGCGCCCCGGGGGGACGGTGCGGGGCTGGGGAGCCGTGGGTACCTTCCCCGCTGGGGGAGGGATGGAGGGCTGGCCCAGATGGGGGCTGCCAGCGAGGGTTTGGGGTTTAGGAGGAAGGACCTGCTTTAGAGCCTACATCCCACTGGCCCCTATCGACCAGGAAGGGTCCCTGGGCCCCCGCTTCCCTGTGCGAGCCCCATGGCAATGGTGTTTGTGCCCACTGAGTCCTCTTGCAATGCCCCGCCCTGGGGAATTTAGGGGAGGGAGAATAACCTGCTCCCTGAAGGGCTTTCATTTATAATCTGGGAAGAGCCATAGACCTACTAAATAAAACGGCCTCAGTACGGACTTGAAGGGTCTACTATAATTACCTGGGAAGAGCCAGTCTGCTGGGCTTTTTTTTTAATTTGCATTTTTCAAAGTGTTTAATGGAGATTTATACAAAAAAAACAGCCTGTCGGGTAAATGCACAACTTTACATTAGGCTGAGAAGGCTGAGGGGATACTGGGTCTTCACCCCTCACTCCTCACCTGCACTGGCTTCAGCAGTCAGGAGGCCACCTTCACAGACTAGCAGATACAGAGACCAAACTAGTGGTTACCAGTGGGTGGGTGATGGGGAGGGGAGGGGGCGGGGGCAATCCAGGGGGAGGGGATTAAGAGGTACAAACTATGATGTATAAAATAACCTCCAAGGATATATTGTACAACACAGGGAATACAACTAACATCTTACAATAACTGTAAATGAGTATAACCTTTAAAAACTGCGAATCACTATGTCGTACACCTGTAACTTATATATCAGTAATATTGTACATCAACTATACTGCCTCAGTTTAAAAAGTTCTTTTAAAAATAAAAGAAGGCTGCCTTCGCTCATTCCCTCATTTATTCATTCCACACACATTTCCCGAGCACCTCCTCTGACCGGGGGTGGGATCCAGGAGTGAATGCACACAGCCCTCCCCTAGAGAGAGAATCACCTTGCAGTGGGTTAAAGGGGCACACAAAGGCTGGGGCGGGGGGACCCAAGCCAGCCTGTGAAAGTGGGGTCAGCTTTGCAGAGGAGGAAGCTTACCAGGCCACAGGGGAGGGGTCGCATCTGGGGCGGAAGGAAGAGCCTGGACCTAGCCCTGGAGGAATGGAAGAGATGGGGCTTTGAGGAATGGTCGAAAGTGTGCTAAGTCCTGAGCTAAGGTTCACCGGAGAAAGAGGCAGCCTCTCGGCGGGCTGCCCCGCTGTCCACCTCCAGGGGATGCCCCCAAGGTCCTTCCCTGGGTGTCACTGCCCCCTGCACAGTGCACAACCCTCACGGCTGCATGTGGTGGGCCTTTTGTTGGGGCGGGAGAAAGCTGGGCCCCAAATAGGCAGGTTCCCCAAACCAAGTGGGGAGTCTGAGCTGGATCCAGGTGGCAGGAAGCCGTTTTGTGTCTTTCGGGAGGAGGGGGACATGATCAGAGTGGCATTTCCGAAAGACCACTCTGGCAGCCTGTGGAGAATTTGTTGAGGTAGAGAGACAGTTGGCTGCCAAAAAATGGCCCGTATAGAACACATATTTTGCCAAAAAATATGACAAAAGCCTAATTCTTTTCATCTGCAAAGTGATGCTGCAAATCAACAAGAAAAAGACCAGTCGACAAATGGGCAAAGAACACGAGCAGCCAGTTTGTAGGAAAGGAAATACTCATGACTTTGAAACACAGAAGAAAGCTTCTCAACCTCATTTGTAAGAGAAACAAATTCAATGTGTAATGAGATGCTGCCATGTTTTTTTCACCCACCGACTGGCAAAGGTTAGCGTTTTGATAACGAGCCTCGTTGGGGAGGATGGGGGAGCTGGCCCTCTCACACAGTGTTGGTGGGACTGAAAATCGGTGTGGCCTCTTGGGAGGGCAATTTGGCAATATTGATTGCAATTTAAAATGCATATACCCTTTGACCTAGTAATTCGACCTGCAGGATGTACTCATACGTGTGCATAAAGATGCGTGTCCCTGCAGCACTTTATGTAGTAACAGAAAACCGGAAACAAACTAAATGCATCGATTGGGGGCCATTTAAGTAAACGAAAATATTCTAAGTCATTATAGTGCATCGCATAATGGCATGACAATGGTGCCATTAAAAATCTGAGGGCAGGGCTTCCCTGGTGGCGCAGTGGTTGGGAGTCCGCCTGCCGATGCAGGGGATGCGGGTTCGTGCCCCGGTCCGGGAAGATCCCACATGCCACGGAGCGGCTGGGCCCGTGAGCCATGGCCGCTGAGCCTGCGCGTCCGGAGCCTGTGCTCCGCAGCGGGAGGGGCCACAACAGTGAGAGGCGCGCGTACCGCAAAAAAAAAAAAAAAAAAAAAAAAAAAAAAATCTGAGGTCAGCTGACATGAACATATCACGCAACAACCTCCCAGAAACAGTGTTAAGTGAAAAGTAGAGTGCCGGTTGGTGGACACACACATATGTAAGAATTCATGTATGTGTACAGACTGTCTTTGAAAGGAACACACAAAACCCAGAAACTATAGCTGCCTTTGGGGACAGACTGGAGAATTGAAGCACAGGGGTGAAAGGGAGATTATTTGTCACTGTACATCTTTTTGAGCTGTTTTTATTTGTTTTAGTCATTATATATATGCATTAATATCATATGGGCATTTAGATATGTATCTCCACTGCATATTTTTAAAAAATTATTGCAGCCACTATAGAGAACATTATGGAGGTTCCTTAAGAAACTAAAAATAGAGTTACCATACGATCCAACAATCCTAACTCTTGGGCATATATTGGGAGAAAACTCTAATTTGAAAAGTTGCATGCATCCCAATGTTCACAGCAGCACTATTTCCAACCAAGACAAAGGAGCAACGTAAATGCCCATCGACAGACGAATGGATAAAGAAGATGTGCTACATGTATACAATGGAATATTATTCGGCCATAAAAAAGAATGGAATAATGCCATTTGCAGCAACATGGATGGACCTAGAGATTATCATACTAAGTGAAGTAAGTCAGACACAGAAAGACAAATATCACTTATATGTGGAATCTAAAAAAATGGTACAAATGAACTTATTTTCAAAACAGAAATAGACTCACAGACAGAAAACAAACTTATGGTTACCAAAGGGGAAAAGGTGGGGGGAAGGGATAAATTAGGAGTTTGGGATTAACAGATACACACGACAATCTATAAAATAAACAAGGACCTACTGTAGAGCACAGAGAACAATATTCTATATCTTATAATAACCTGTAATGGAAAAGAATCTGAAAAAGAATAGATATATTTGTGTATATGTGTGTGTGTGTGTGTGTGTGTGTGTGTGTGTGTGTGTATAACTGAATCACTTTGCTGTGCACCTGAAACTAACACAACATTAAAAAAAAGAAGAAGAAGAAAATTACAGCAACCACAAGAAGCCCAGGTGGCTGAGTGTCATTCCCATGCAGCGGAGGCTCATTTTTACCATGTCCTCGGGGAATGAATTTCCATGAACGTGAATTTTCCAGATACATTATAAGAATCAAAACTCTTTAAAAGCTTTTTTTTCAATAAAGGAAACCCCTGTAAAACGTATAATATCCTTCCATATTTTATCAAGAGTGTGGAATGTGTGCAAACGTTTCCTGACTAGGAAGCCAAGGGTGCTTTGCCCCTGCACTCAGGGCCCCCGTCGGCTGTAAGGAGGCTCCTGTCCCTCCCCAGCCCGTCAGGTGCCACTTGACACACAGCGTGTGAGCACAGAGAAAGGGCTGAAACAAGAGTGTCATTTCTGGACCGGGAGCCCGGGTCGGAGTTGACGTTCTGGGTGTCGTGACGCTGGTGGCTCCCACAGGGGTGGCTGGAGTCCTGGGATGTTTTGACCTTGCAGTAACGGGGGCAGCTGCTTCCCTCTCCCTGCTGTCCACTGCAGAGTCTCTCTGGTGGCCTATGGGCTGGCGGAGGGCAGGCTACTGCGGCCTTAGGCAAGGTGAGAAGCTTCTCCAGACCTAAGTTTCCCCAGCTGTGAAAGGGTAGTGATATCACCCAATGGCCAGGGTGACTCTGGGGCCTGGGACAAAGCTGGTCCTCCACACATGGACACCGTTTTCACCACCGGCCACCCTTGCCCACACTGCCTGGCACACTCCTGTCCCAGTTATGGGAACCTGGCCTCCTAGGTTCCCCCCCCACCGCCATCACTTTGCTGCCCAGCCGAGCAATTCCCAAGGCCTCCTGTTCTGTAAACCTGGCTGGGTTGGGGTGCCTTCCAGGAAGCAGAGAACGGCGAGGGCTTTTTTATTACATGCCAGGGCTTTTCAGAGAAGTGTTTGCTGATGTGGTGCTACTCAAGGTCTCCCCAGAGCCTCCCACTTCCACATGTTCTCAGCTGCCTCTGTTGGTGGGACTCACCCGCCCTTCCAAGAGGGGCCCATCGCGGCAGCACAGAGGAGAACCATCTGGAGTGAGATCCCGTCTCCACGAGGCCGGGATCCCAAACTGGCTTTGGCCTTTCTAAGCCAAGTCACTTCATCTCGGTTTTGAACCTCAGTTTCCTCATCTGTAAAATGGGGAGATAGTAAGAGTGTCCATTTCCCGAGCACGCCTCTCAGACTAAATGAACTAACACGTGCAATGTGCCTGGCACGGTCTGGCCGTCGTATGTGCTCAGGGAATGTGAATGAGGAATGTGGTTACATTCAGATCACCCTGTGCTGTGACACGGCTTCCACCAGCTACTGGAGGAGCCCTGATGCCATTCGATTCCCCGCACTGAGGCTGCTTTGTGCAGGGCCGACCTCCTCAGCAGACCTATAGCTAGAGCTGGCGTGGCCAGACCACCTGTCTCTAGGCCTGAAGACGCCAGCGCCTTGGGCTGTGTGCTCTGCTCCAGCCTGGGAAGGGCACACACTCTGTCTGGGCTCCTCATCTATTCTCCACTCCTGGCCCCGATCCTCAAGGGGAAACTTCAGTGACCTGCTTTGGACTGGGCTTTCCAGGGGATGGGAAGGCTCCCGAAGGAGCTTGGAGCTGGGCTGCAGCCAGGCCACAGAGCCTAGGACTGGAGTTCTTAGTGGGAAGATACAAGATATTCCCAGAATCCCCTGACTCTGGAGTCTTAGGAAACCCATGTGGCCCCCATCACATTGTGCTTCTCAAGTGGAGAGTATGTGGTGGGGGTGAGATGCTCTGTGCAGCTGTAAGATAAACACAGTCACTTTCTTGGAGCAGAAATTTTATTTGAAGATTGAAGCATTTTTATAGTAAAACAAATATGAATTGAGGCAAAAAGGTAACATGTGTCCACCAAGTCCCATTTCATTGTTTCGACTTGGATGTACAGGAAGAACACATTTCCCAGTATCCCCTGCACTCAGGCTGGGGCCAGGTGACCAGATTCTGGCCAAGGGCATGTGGGTGGAGGTGAAGTCACCTCTCCCTGAACAACCCACTCCTGCAGTCCTCCAGTCTTCTCTTCCTTTTGGAGGCAACTGGGAAGCCGTCCTTGAGGAGAAAGAGGCCAGGCAGGAAGCAGCCGGGACCCTGCATGGAGGAGTGTCATCCTGGAGAGCCCCCTGACCCTGTCAGATTTGCACAGGCAAGAAGTAAACCACAGGGGTGTCCAGCTGCTGTGATTTGGGGGTTTAGCTCAGCATCACATAAGTCAGCATCCTGACCAACATATGGACATAATATGGAGCCCAAAGCAATATGTACAGGACTTTAAAGCTAAGACATGAGCCTTCAAGTAAGCGGCTGCTGCAGCTGGCGTCAGGGCCGTGCCCGCAGACTTCGGACCTGCCAGTCTGGGCTGTATTTTTCTCCAGCACCGTCAGTGATAGACCCAGTGACCCACTGATGCCACGGCCACTGGCCCTGGAAATGGCTCGAAGCACAGCTATGTCAGCGCCTGGGGAGGAGCTATTGAGGTTGAGTGTCTGAGCAGATCACATGGCTCCTGCCTGATGACTGAGGCCAAGCGAGAAATGAGCCCAGCACCAGCCTCCGAGGTCCCCACAACCATTCTATGGGGGGTGCAAGAGGACGGTCCAGCTCCTGCCTCGGGCCCTGGGGTGAACCCACCCTGACTGGTCACTGTTGCCAGCACGATGCACGTCTTCCAGGAGCCATGGCTGGGCTCAGGCGGCGGTGGGAGGAGGCTGTTCTGGTCATGACTTCAAACAAGTTACTTCTCCCAGGGCCCCAGTTTTGCCACAGGTAGAAAATTGGAAGTGATGATGATGATGATGGCGTTTGAAGCTATTTCCTTACGTGCAACCGCAATATATATAACAGAACAACAACCAAAACAACAGAAAAGGAAGAAAGAAACAAACAAAAACGCAACAGCCGAGATGCTCTTGGGCACCATGGAATCTAGTTGAAAACCCTGAACTACAGGCTGGCCCTGGCTTCTGCTCTTCAGATTCCTTCGCTGGGGAGGCCTGAGCTCACATCCCTAACTTGCTGGGCATTTGGGCAGGGCCCTTGCCCTCTCTGGGCTTCCAGTGTCCCATGTGTGAGATTGACAGGTTGGAAATGCTCTGGCCGTGGATAGAATGTTATAACAAAGCGCATTACTTAGAGACAAAGCTGGAGCTGCTTGGGTTAAAAACAGAGTGCGGTCTGAGCCCTGAGGGGCACCACCAGATGCCCAGGGCTTCTGTGGGAGGCAGCTGCATGGAAAGACCCCTGGAAGGTATGCCTGGCCCGGTTGCCACGGGCCAAGGCAGTGCTAACGTCCCAGGCTGCTGGAGCAGCCTCCCCACCTGGTGGGGGGACCGTGGGTGACAAACCTGGGTTTCTTCAGCAGGGAGCAGGGTGGCAGCTCTTACTGCACGGCCAAGCCATGACCTGCGGGCACAGGAGTCTAAGACCAAGAGGCTGGCACAGAGTTGGAGCACAGAGAGTGTGTAGGATCTGAATGTTTCACAAAATGGAGAATCCGAGGGGTCCAAAGAACAAAGGCGTTCCCAGGGGTGACAGAGCCTGCCTGAGGGGCCCCCACTGTGGAGGGGCTGTGGGAAACGACGCCTCTCTGACGCCATTGGGTGGTGGTTTCCAAGGGGCAGGGATCCCATTTATTTATAACCCAAGGCCATCTGCCTTTCTCTTTCCACCAGCTGGTCCACAGGCTGAGAAATGTTCAGAGCAGACATAGGTTACCCCCAAAGGGTCAAGGGCAGGGCTGGCGCCAGGACAGGGCCACCAGGTGTGTCAGCAGCACCAGGTGGCCTCTCTGGAGCAGCTCAAACCGCTAAGTTCTCCAGGGAGCTGCCCTGCCCTGAGCCTCCCCATGGGGGCCGAGCTTGCAACACACCCCTACCCAGCCTGGCGCTGTGGGCAGCGGCTGCCGCCCACACAAAGCTGGAAGGAGCCAGTTTCTCCTCGAGGGCAGGCGTGCCGCCAGACTCTCTACGACGTGGCCAGGCTCTAGGGGCACGTCACTCCCTCCCTCAGGGAGACTGTCCCCAGTGGATCAAGGGTTGGGGGCTTTTCCAAACTCCTTCCTCCATCTCCCCCAGGATCTCACAGGTTCCCTGAGGCAATATTTAGCTCCCCAGCCAGACATTAACCATTAGAGGAGAAAAAAATTGGAAGGATCCCCTTTCTCCCCAGCTGACCCCAAATGAACAAGCCCTGTCAACCCTGCTGGATTTGCTGTCGCTAATTATCACGCAGAAGAAATCGTCGGTACTTTGCAGTACTTTGCAGCCGTTTCTACGTGGGGCCTGCGTGCAGAGACACTCAGCTCTGTTTTATTATTGCATTTTACGAAGTTACCAAGACAACTGAGGCCAAGTAACAGAACCTCGACTTCATGCGCCATGAAAATTTAATAAAGAATTTTTAAAGGCTTTTAAGAAGCAGAAGCCGCAGTCCAGCAGCAGCAGGGAGGAGGGACGAGCATGTGGGGCCGCCCACCAGACCTGGAGGAGCCTGGCCTGTCAGGGCCATCCACGTGGGCGGGAGTGATCTGTGGCACCTGTCCAGTTCAAGCATATCGAGACTGGTCCTTTCCTCAAAGGACATCTATTAAGATGCTTCCTGGTGCCAGGCTCTTTACATTGGTTACAACCCATCTCCACTGTGCAGGAGAGGAAGAGGGAAGGGGGTGGAACCACCGGTCCATGGCCATGGTCACATAGCTGGAGAGCGACAGGTCCGGACAAAGACACTCGCTCTTCCCACAGCGCTCAGGGCCTCTGCTGGGATTCTCATTTTCCCCGTTCTGATGCAAGAAGTTCTGAAGGGAGATGCTCCTGCTGACTCTTTTCATCCCCCAGCTCCTTGCCTTGCTTCTGCAGCCTGGGAGGGGGCTGGAGGGACATGGTGAGGGGTGGGCAATGTCCCTGTGGCCCCAAACTACCGCCTTAGCAAATGCCTTCGTGTCGGAGGAAATGTTCTGCTTGTGAGCCTCCTGGTGAGCGTGTTATGTTACCCCAGGGCTGCAAAGACCCTCTTTCCTCTGCTCTCTAAATAAGGCTCAGAAGCAATTTTGCCATTTTATGCCAAAGCTCAATGGTGCTCAGTGTGTATGTGTGTGTGTGTGTGTGTGTGTGTGTGTGTGTGTGTATGCACACATGCATGTATAAGCAGTATGCTGTGTGGTTTTCCTAGTTATAGAAAAATCAGGACTTCTGGTTACTAGAGATGGAGGTAATTGAATATGTTGCCTGTTCTGCAAAGCTCCTTTGCCCCTGGAACAGGAAAAAAAAAAAAATTTCTAACATATTTCATGAGGGAGAAATTCATATACCGTATGGGAAAATTTCTCCCATATCTGTCAAACTCAGTAGGAGATTGGCAAAAATACCAGTCAGGGTGAGTTTGCCTCGCTTGGAGAGAAGGACAGCTCTCAGCCACTGAGCGAGATCTCGTCATTTCTGAGTTTTGAGGGAAGGGGCTCAAATGCCAGCCAGTTAAGCCAGTTCTCAAGGCTGGGACCGAAGAGTTTAGGGCATTCATCCAGAAATGAAAAAAAATTAAGCTATTTTGGAGTAATATTCTGCCAATCACAAGGCAAATTCCAGGTGTCAGAGGAGCAGCGGAAAGCATTTTTCACCCTGTGAATGTCTTCAACTACATGAGGATGAAGCGGGGAGGAGAGGGAGGGGAGCTGACTGTTCTGACTTCATTTGTCCTGATGGATTAGAACATTCCAGGAGGAACCTTTTCCCTTCATCCCTTTACACTTTGCAGGAAACCAGAAGCCAGTCTGAAGATAACTCGGCATCCCGGCAGCATTTGGGTTTACAAAATGCTTTCACGTGTATTATGCTTTCCATCTCTTGTCTTCTGTTCCCAGAGACAAAGTGAGAGAGGAGCTGTCACCCCCGGTGCAGCTCAGGAACCCGGAGCCCATAGAGCTCAGTGCGAAAGAGCAGGTGGGACTGCCCCAAGCTAAGCCCCAGAACCCCAGGACCACCTGAGCCAGCACCCAGCCTCTCTCAGATGTGGGTTTCTGCGTCTGTGAAATGGGGCCAAAACCCTCTCCTTGGTGGGCTGTAGGAGCATTGACGTGCTGTTACGAGAGCGGTTATCGGGCCGAGAAAGGAGCAAGGCGTTGGGGGCTGGGCTCTGCCTTTCACCAGCTGGGAGGCCTTGGGAAAGTCACCTGACCTCTTGGGCATCAGTGCCCCCAGCTATGAAAAGAAGGTGATGAGAATCCTCATCCTTTGTGGGGTCGCTGGGAGGATGGAGATAAAAGTACTTTGCAAACTGTGAAGCGTCCAACAGATGGTACACTCACGTGGGAAGGGGAGTTGATTCTAGAAAGGGATGGAACACCATTCCAATGTCTAGGCTCGTCCCCAGCCTGGTCCTGCTCACCCTGACTGACTACATTCACATCAGGATTATCTGCTCTGAACTAACCAACCCCCCACAGATGCGGCGGGGCTGGAGAGACAGGCTGGATGCCCGATGGAGGAGCCGTGGCGGGCATGATCCAGCCTGGTGGCCCTTAGTCTCCCAGATGGGGTTGCCCATGGGGGACGCAGCCCAGAGCAGAGCCCGGGCACGAAGGAACACGGAGAGACTGCCCAGGGTCAGAGGAGCCACTGTCTGCTGGGGTCCCGGGACACGGACACGTTCACAAACTAAACCGCCAGGGCATCCGCAGGGGGCTGGGGGGCAGCAGTGTTGCAGCTCAGGCTTCTCGCCCAGGCCCCCTGGACAGTCCCAGCACCTGCAGGGCCCCGGCTCGGTGGGTGCCCGAGGGGCCAGCGTGAATCCAGCACCTGCCTGACCGTGAGAGAACTCACTGCTTGGTGGGAACGAACGCCACGACACCACAGCACAAGTGTGATAACAAAGGACTTCCCAGGTTCTCACAAGTAGAAGGAGGGGGAGGCTCACTGTTGGGGGGATGGCAGTGGGGACACTTGAGCTGGGCCTTGAAAGATAAGTAAGCTTCCACTGGACAGAGGGAGGGTCCAGCAGAGGGGACAGCAAAGGTGGGACAGCACCGAGCAGATCCGGGCCCCGTGGCCCTCCCAAGGGGGTGGGAACCAGCACATTCTCTCCCGAGTGGTAGCAATGGACACAAAGGGCCTGTTGGGAGCACAGAGACTGCTCCTGAGGGCTGGGGGCTGAGCGTGGATTTCGGGTGGAAAGGCAGGAGGGGACTGGATCACGAGGGGACCTGAATGCCAGGTCGGGGGCTTGGGCTTTAACTGGGAGGAGAGAGGGTTGACTGGACTGGGGGACTGTGCAGTCACCGCTGTGCTTCTCAGAGTCCTCCCTGGGCTGAAAGGGACAGAAGATGGTTGAGGGGTTTAAGAGGCAGAAGACTGATGCAGTGCAGCTAAGAGCTGATGGGGTCTGAGCTGGGAGAGTGGATGGAGGACATACAGGAGGGACCCAGGAGTTTGGGGACGGAGGCGCCTGTCTCCAGGGGCCCCTGCCCCGCACATGGGGAGGGGCCTGTTGGGACCAGCAGCGCCAACAGACTCACCGAATCCAAATCGCCTTTACAGGCCCCGTTCTGACCAGGCTGCGGGGACAGAACTCCTGACCGTACCAGCAGAGAAGCCAAGCACATCCCCTGGGAGGCAGGAAGGAGGGGAGCAGGTAAGGCCAGCACTGAAGGGGGAAGGATGCTTTCCGGGTACACCAGAAGGGGCACGGCAGGCACGGCGAGAAAGGATGGAGGCGGGCAGTGGCCCAGGGATGCACGCAGCCCAAGCTGGAACGGACCGAGCTGATCTCATCCGTTCATTGAAGCCACTCTGGGGGCCGGCCCTGCAGGGGCTCAGTCAGTGAACAGTGACAGCGTCGGTGTGGCTGGACTGTGTGGGAACACCAAAAGGAGGGGCAGGAAGGGCAGGAGAGGGTGGGGGAGACGAGGCTGGGATGGAGCCCGAGGGCCCTTCTCAGGGCTGGGCTGACCCCATGGGCAGAGCTCAGGGACCCAGATCCCCACGGAGCACCTCTCTTCCAGGAGGAAGGAAACACCTGCTTTTGCAATCACTTCAATTACACCCTACAAAACGAGCAGCAATTACCAAAGGGGATAAACACAGTGGGACTTCCTATTAGGCACGAGTCGGTGGGGGAAGTCTCCTATCACTCACTCTAATAACGGAGCAGCCTCTTCATTCTTCCTGTTCAAAGAAATTGAGCAAATAGGGCCCGCTCTGTCACTGACTGGCCTCCTATAAAACGGCAGCCTCGTCTCCCCAGTGCTCACCGAGGGCCGTGGGGCTTCTCAGGCCCTGTCTGCCCTGGAGGGACTCCTTCTAGACAGTGACCCTGGGGGGCCACCCAGCAACCTGCCTCCAGATGACACACAACGGGTGGGGCGAGAACGGTCCTCATCCTGGGAGCTGATGTTCACATATCACCTCAAACAATGTGGCTGGAATTCAGCCTGTCGATACATTTTTTTTTTCTAAAATATTCAGTGTGCTTGGTTGGTCTGGGACCTGATGACTGCACCCCGTTTTGGCAAGTGAAGGCTTTCTGGAAATCAACTTCAAGAAATGGTATAGGGCTTCCCTGGTGGCGCACTGGTTGGGAGTCCGCCTGCCGATGCAGGGGACGCGGGTTCGTGCCCCGGTCCGGGAAGATCCCACATGCCACGGAGCGGCTGGGCCCGTGGGCCATGGCCGCTGAGCCTGCGCGTCCGGAGCCTGTGCTCCGCAACGGGAGAGGCCACGACAGTGAGAGGCTCGTGTACCACACACACACAAAATAAATAAATAAGAGAAAAGCGGGAGAAGGAAGATGTCTGTGCTGGTCTAGGACACACCTCTGCCACCAATGACTTTCTCCCTGGCCCTACATTTGTGAGCATTTTCTGAGCCCTACTGTGTGCCAGGCACCGTGCTAATCAATGCCTTCAAAGACCCTTCATCCTCCTCCCTCAGAGCCTGATGGTCATCTAAATCCAGGGCCCCCAGGGTCCTATAACGAGGACCCTCTGGAAAGGGCCACATTAACCCGAAATCCAACAACACTCTGGATAGCTTGGCCGTTCGAGGGCAGTCTCTTGTCTGCCTGTGGTCAGCAGGCCCTGGACCCTGACTTGCCTGGGGCCATTTTCCAAAATGCTACCTTTGGCTGCCTCTGAAGCTTCCCCTCTGAGCGGGGGCCGCCTGGGGACACGGATGCAGACAGGGAAAGGGTCTCATGGATGGGAGGGCACGGCTCCCCCTTGCCCGGCTTCTGACGTCAAGCTCCCGCTCGCTCTGGCCCTTACGCAGGTCTTACTTTCCTTCCCTCTGAAGCCCTCTCCTCCCCTCCAGGGCACCCTGCGCACTCTGGGCACACTTGATGATCACCCCACCCATGGAGAGCTTCAATCAGAGGCCACGTGACTGGGGGGACGCCTGCTTTGGGGTCAAGGTCAAACAAAATGATCTCAGAGGCTCCCGCCAGCTCTGAGACTTCAGCAGCCTTCCTCAGTTACCTCTCAGTTAATCATATCTTAATGAATAACACATGGGACACTGCAGCAACAGGCAAGCTCATGAAATCAACGAGATCGGTCTGTTAACCGCACCCACGTAGCACATGATTGCGGTGGGTGAGTCCCGCAGGCCTGCTGGGTATTTCCACTTCATTTTCACAGAATGGGTGGTAGGAAGTCCACATGATGTCCCTGGGCTCTAACCGTATTCTCTTCGGGACCTCAGCAGACCCCAGTCCCGGCTGCCTCAAGTTCTTTCTTCTCCGCAGCTCTCCGTCTTGGGGTTGTTGGTGCCCCCTTCCCCAAACACAGCAGTTTTATCCCCGGCGGTGGCTTCCCATGAGCCCAGAATAGAAGAGGCCATCTGTCACGTTTTGGGTATCATATGTCCGCTGATGGCTCGCAAGCAGGTGGGCCACCAAGAGGTGCTGGGAGGAGGGCGGTTGAGAATCAGGCAGCCTCTGGAAGTGCAGAACATGGAGACGATTAGGGGGAATCTCAGGTGGGAATTCTCAGCATCCTGCCATCTCTCCCCCGGCAGGAAGCCTGGGGGTCTCTTGGGCTCGGAAGGGCTCAATCTTCTTCTGGGAGGACAGAGCGGCCCTCAGGACAGAGCGTGTCTGGAATGGGAGAGCTTGAGGGCACTGTTTGTGCAGGGCGGGGGATGGCCCTCAGCCAGCGGGGCTGCGGGGGTGGCCTCCTGCAAGGTGCCACTGTGAGGGGGTCGGCCCCCCGATGTGGCGCTCCGGCCACACACCAGGCGCTTCTCGTCCAGCAGGGACAGGTGGTATTCACACAGGTCAATCAGCGAGGCTACCTGCTCGTGCAGGGGCAGCATCTTGAACTTCCTCTGGGCCAGGTAAAAGAAAGCCTCCACGAAGGCCTGCAGACACATCCCTGTGGGTGAGAGACTGGGGTTAGTGGTGTGTGTGTGTGTGTGTGTGTGTGTGTGTGCGCGCGCGTGCAGAGGTGACTGGGGTTAGTGGTGTGTCTGTGCGTGTGTGTGTGTGTGTGTGTGTGCGCGCGTGCGCACGCGTGCAGCGGTGGCTCGGCACGCTGCCCTGGGAAGACCCGACTCCAACCACCAGGTTCTCTCCCCACCGCTGTCTCATTCTGGAAACGACACGGGGCTGGCTCACAGTGCCTGCCATGCGAAAGTCTAGCTGGGTGTTTGCAACCACTTGCAGACTCAACCCTTAAGCCACCCTGTGAAGAAGGTTCGATGAACCCTGTTTTACAGATGGGGAAATTGAGTCTCAGAGAAGTGGAGAGACCTGGGCAAAGCCTAGTGGGTACACAGCGGTGGGGCTGGGACTTACACCTAGCCCAAAGCCTTATCCCTCTGCACCACCATCAGATGTTCCCATTAAAACCCATCGCACTGCTTTAATAATAAGGGAAAGGGGTATGAAGATGAGCCCAATCTGATGGCAATGTTCTATATCCTCATAGGGGTGTCAGTTACGTGAGTGTGTGCATTTGTCAGAATCCACAAATTATATTACCTTAAGATTGGTGCCTTTTGCTACATGCAAATTTGACCTCAAAAAGTAAAATATACCTGACCCCTTCTCTACCCAAAACTGTATTCCGGAAGGTATTAATAAGAGTCCCCATTATGCCCCTGGAATGTTCTTCTCCTGCTTTGCCTCATAAACTCCTACTCATCCTTGGGATCTCAGCTGAAAATCACTTACTCAGCTAAACCTCCCCTGAGCCCCAGATTACATCCAGCTCCCGGGAGAGGCTTCTGGCACTTTTCTCTGTCGCACCTTGGGTGGCTCGTTCAGGGCTTATTGTGTGGTGCTTTAACAATCTCTATCTTCCGTCTGGACTGCGGGCTCCAGCTCACCTCAGTCCCCCTGGTGCCAGGTCCCCAGCAGGCGCTCAGTACAGAGGGACAGACTACACGAGTGAATGAATGCATGAATGAGTCGGTGCTAGGTGCTTCACAGACACGCCTTTTCGAGGTCATTATTATGATGCCTCATTTTACAGATGAGGAAACTAACCATCAGAGATGTCGAGTAACTTCCCTAAGGTCACAGAGCCAGAGAATTGTGGCCTGGAAATTCAAACGCTGACTCCCAATGCTTTTAGCTATGTTGTGCTACATGAAAGGTTCTGAGTCTTCCCAATGTCGTCGTTAAAATGAACCCTGTGACCCACATTCATGGGATTCCATGGCCTTCTTGGGGAAGGCGGCTCTAAGGCATACCAAATGCCACACGGTATTCTGGATGAGGCCAGTCCCCACTCCACTAATCCACACCTTCCCAGGGGCCTTGTTTCCCGGCTCAGACGTGCTAGCTGGCTGCTCTGTCACTGCAGGCAGAAGCCTGGCCTGGAGTTTGTAAATACTGGACATGGACCTTGGGATCTGAGAGATCTTTTTGCGTCGGAAACTTGAGCTGAGCAAAGTTGTTTTTTCTTAATCTTCTTCTAAGTCCATCAAAGCTTTTTTGCTTGGCTTCTCTTGACTCCAGACGTTCTGCACGTCCCCTGCTTGGTCTTGACAGGCGTTGATAAAGAGGACAGTAACCCTTTTAATGTAAACAGAGGCCTGGTGTGGACAGAGACACAGGGGAATGGAGGCCTCAGTCTACAATCAGGAGACAGACGTTTCCTAACCACCGACTCTGGGCCAGGGCTCTCCTAGGCTGTGCGTCCACGTGTGTGTGTGTGTGTTACAGTCGGTGGGAGGATCTGGTACACACAGGGTGAAGAGGCCAGGATCTAAAGCCCGAGAAACCCAGTGCAGTCCCAGCCCCCAGCTTCCCAACCGCGTGATCTCAAGAGCACTGCTACTCCAAGTGTGCTCGACCGATGGGTGCCGAGTCCAGGAGCTGTGTGTCCCTGGGCCCTGACAAGCTAAGGAGCTCCGGCTAGAATGGAAATCGCCCTCCTCATCGATCACATTGCTTAGTTCAGCTGGCAGGACTCTGTAGCAAGTCTTTCTCTTTGTAAAGGAAGCCACACGCATTTACATTCTGGCTCGACTCTCTTATCCAGGACTGTGAAGAACAGTTCGTGACTGCAAGCGTCAGGAGCTCTGCGGTCTACACCCCCTTCCCCAGCTTTAATGTCACCACGACCTTGTCAAAATGCAGATTCTGGGGTGGGGCCCGAGACCCTGCATTTCTGACAAGCTTCCCAGTGGTACCCAGGCTGCTGGTCTACACTCTGAATAGTGAGAATTGAGCACCTTTCTCAACGAACACTCGTTTCCTTCCCTTAATTGGAGGCAGGCTGTGATTAGAGTTATAACACACCGAAAAAATACAATGAAGACCTTTTCTGGAGGAAAAAACATGGCTAAATATCACCTGGAAGAAGACATTCTAAAATGAGAAATGGGATTTAACGTGTTATACTTGGTTTTCTTTTTGCTTGTCTACATTTTCTGATTTTCTATAGTAAACGTGTGCAATTAAAAAATATGCAATGGGAAATTCTAGAGTAGAAAGAGGTGATGCAGGGGCAGCTGCTTTGAATTATGAACCCTTTGCTACTATTTAAATTTGAAGTCATTACTTTGAAAAAATACAATGCAAGCTTTCTGCATATGTGTTCTACTTTGATAAAAGTTATATATCTGTATATTATATATATGTATGTTATATATATACGTATATCTGTATATTATATATATTTATGTTACATATATACGTATATATATGTATATTATATATGTGTATGTTATATATATATGCATATATATGTATATTATATGTGTATGTTACATATATACGTATATATGTATATTATATATATGTGTTACATATATACGTATATATGTATGTTATATATATGTATATATATGTATATTATATATATGTATGTTATATATATACGTATATATATGTATATTATATATATGTATGTTATATATATACGTATATATGTATATTATATATGTATGTTACATATATACGTATATATATGTATATTATATATATACGTATATATATTATATATATGTATGTTATATATATACGTGTATATATATATATATATATATATATATATATATGTGGGGATGAAGGGGAATGGACATTACTGACTCGTGTATGTGGGGATGAAGGGGAATGGACATTACTGACTCGTGCGTGGGTCCCGTACACTGCGCCTGGTGCTCTGATCCTCACTACAACTCCCATTGTGCAGATGAAACTGAGGCCCAGAGAGATGAAATAACTTGCCCTCAGGTCACACACTGGTAAGTGGCAGGGCTGGGGTTTGAACCCTGGCCTCAGGCACCGCTGATTCTGCTGAGAGTCCCCTGGAGGGCTTGTTGGAATACAGACTGCGGCCTCACCCCCAGAGTTCCTAGTTCTGAAGGTCTGAGGTGCGGCCTGAAAACCTGCACTTCGAACACGTCCCCAGGTGGTAACGAGGCTGCTGGTCAGGACCCCACTTGGAGAACCCGTCCCAGCCCCGCCTCCTCCCACTGCTGAGTTCAGTCTGTTCTTTCTCCACTGCCAAAGACCATCTGCAAAAAGGGGCCTGCTTGCAAAAGGGCCTGCCCCCGAACTGCGAGAAGCTTGACTTTGGGATAAAAATGCCTTTTAAGACACTCTGATTGAAAGCAGACTCAATCAGTTATTTTTAAAAGACTAATGATGGAGCTGGAAAAGCATGAACTTGTTGCAACTTTGCATTACGTCCTCTCTTGGTTTCTGAGGAACCGCACATCCCTGGTTTCTTCCAGCGTCATCACTTAACCGCTAAGGGGGGCAGAGCTCCGTTGCCCTCTGCGAGGCCCTGCCCTTCTCTGTCTGTACTGATGGAGTCTAGACCTGAAAGGTTCTAGCGGGCCAGGCCACAAGGGCCCTGCAGACCAAGGTGGGACTTTGAATTTCCTGCTGAGAAAGACGGGTGGCCACTGGGAAGTTTCGAAGTGACACGGTCAAGGTGGCTGCCGCATTGACGGTGGCAGGGGCACATGAGAAAGAAAGCGGGGAGACCCATTAGGGGGCTAACTGTGCTGGTCCAGGCGAGAGCTGACAGTGGCTCAGATCAGACGGCAGTGGTGGAGGTGGTGAGGGATGATGAGGTTCTGAATAGAGTCTGGGGGTCATGCCTGTGGCTCTGTGGGCTGCCGATGGGGTGGATGTGGGTGTGAGGGTGAGTCAGGAGCCCTCATGAAAAAGGGACTCTAACAGCAGGCTGAGGGACTGGCCTTCCTCTCAAGGCCCGTGGTTTTCAAACATTTTATGCACAAAATTGCCTGGGGACCTTGCCAGAAATGCAGGTTCCTGTTCCCGTCCCCTGGGGATTGTCTGTTGGTGATGAGGCTCTAGCTACTGCACTTGTAACTGCAGCTCTGGGGATTCGACCCACGAGGGTGCTCAGGAAGCTTGGGAATGAACACTCCCTCTTAGCCACCTCTCGAAGGGCTCTTGAGGAGACAGTGCAGTAAAGAAGTTAAGAGCATGGCCTTTGAGAAACATAGCACTGGGCAATCAAGAACCTTTGCGGGGGTTTCCCTGGTGGCGCAGTGGTTGAGAGTCCGCCTGCCGATGCAGGGGACATGGGTTCATGCCCCAGTCCGGGAAGATCCTACATGCCGCGGAGCGGCTAGGCCCGTGAGCCGTGGCCGCTGAGCCTGCTCGTCCGGAGCCTGTGCTCCGCAACGGGAGAGGCCACAACAGTGAGAGGCCCGTGTACCGCAAAAAAAAAAGGACCTTTGGGGATGCACAGAACAAGCTTTCTCCTCTGCAATCCCACTGTCCACCTCTCTCCCCCATCTTCATCTGCTTGGGCTGCCAAGTACCATAACAAAACACCATAGCCAGGGTGGCTCAAACGACAGCTCTCACAGCTCTGGAGGCAGGAAGTCCAAGATCAGAGTGCCAGCGTGGTTCAGTTCTGGTGAGGGCTCTGTTCCTGGCTTG